GCAGAAGCAGCTCCAGTGGTGGACAGAGCTCGTGCATCTCTGCTCGGTTTGTACGAACAATACCTGCGCCCCCATGTCGGAAACGGCTTGAGCGAAGCCATCGACCAGATCAAGGTCTACCTGGATCAATACATGCCCGCTGAGTAATACAATAACAATAACAATAATTCAAAAAGAACCAGCTAAAGCGGAAGTGCATGTCAGATGCCTGTAATAGATGATAGCTGATAGAATTACACCGGTTTAGCCTGAGAGGAGCAATACTCAATGCAAACACGATTATTTTGCCTGTTTCTAAATCAATGTCTTTGCCAGATCATGCAGAGTTACAAGCATGGCAAACATGTCACCATGTGAGCAAGTTCTGCATGTGCAGTGTTATATGTTTGATACACTAACAGTGTCTGTGTGACTGTGTACGTATGCGTGTGCGTGTTCAATAAAACATACTGAAAACTACGAAAGGTGTCCAGAAATCCCTTCATTAAAGAATCACTTCCACAGAAACAATGATGCAGATTTATTTTGTTACATTCATTTGGTTACCACCTAAAGGTCATTCATGTTGCATTATGGGAACATTTATCAGTCCTCACTTGAGTTTAGCCAATTAATTAATATTTCACAAAAATGAGTATCTTTTCCTGCATTTTGAATGTAAACATGATGCACTAATTGTTAGCTGGACGACACTCCAGGAAGTAAATGCGCATGTTTATTTTGCACACAGAACATTTTGTGTTTTTCTCTCAAAACAAAACAAAAACTTCTGAGCCTCCAATTTATAAGATCACATAAATATTACAAATGGCTGCTTAAAAGCTGCATGTGCTGATCCAGCACTTCAAATATCTTTTTGCATCTAGTGATGCATCATTACAACATGGTGCTAGTTTTATGATAGCATATTGTGCAACAGCCTGGGGAGGGTTTGTGGCTTTTTACCTAATTTAGGACAAACAGCAGATGAGCACAGCTTTTGCACTGAAATGAAAGAAACAAACAAAAAGTTCCTATTTTCCAATTACACAACACACTTCACGTAAAAACGCTAACAGCAGACAGGACCGGACACGATGCAGGCTTATAGTGACAGCACAAGTATGCAGCTTTAGTGTTTCTCCTCAGCAGGACTGGATCGTACCCAGAGCTTCGCTGACATTTTGAACCCTGCAGCTGGACACAAACTGCCCTGAGCGACACGACATGTGAGTCTGAATCACATGATCAGGCTGCGTTGTTTGCTCAGACTTCGACCAACATGTAGATGTTACAGAGAGAAGGACTCAACTGTTAACTTCAGCTTGTAGAAAACTTTACAAAATCATTATGAGCTTCTTAACAATTAGTCACAATTTCACCTTAAACTTAGTAAAACTGTATTCATAGTGAAAGCACGCATTTCTTTGTTGAAAATGCTCTTTATCTTAAGCTCAACCCACTTCTAAAGTATTGCGTTTATATATTTTTGATGGATTAAAACATCCATGATTGTGGAAAGAAGATTATACATGTTTTCATTTTCTTTTTTTTTAATTCAAAAAATTATTTTAAGCACATCTTTTACTTTTTAACCCCCTAAATGATATCCTGCACAAGCAACTGCCATCAGAAGTCACATAATTAGTATAAAGGTAACATGATACAACCACAGTGGTGACAGACTGGCTAGATTATTGAAGGAAAGCTAGAAGAACTTCCAACATAATTTTCTGCCATGTAGGGGACATTGCCTGTGGTAGAAGGTGTTTGGGTGAGTAATGTAACATACCGTGAACACACCATGTTTATTATTAAACCATGGTTGTCACCGTATTATACTGTGGGGAAGTGTTAAACCAGGGGTCTGAATATATACGTGATGACTGTATGGGGGGCACTTTCAAAATTAAAATATAAAAAGTTGTTGTGATCTATCTAAATTCCAAGAAAATACACCAGATTTCGGCTCTTGAGGTGGAAAATCAATCAGTCACAGTGGAGGCTGAGACGCCTGTGAGAGGGATATGAGTACTTTTCAAAGTGCCAGTTTAAGGAGACAGAAATGTATAAAATATCAGCTGTGACCCAATGTTTTAGATACAGCCAGACCTGACAGGAATATCATTCAGCAGATAAGGCATTCACAGACAGGCATATACAGAGCATGATTCTCTTCAGAACATTGTTTTTTTTATTGATAATGAAGTGCGTCAATGGAGTATCTCTTCGAGACAAGGACCAATTATGTCATATTAACTAGATTGTGTCCAACGCAGCAGTGACGTATGTATTAGGGACAGGAAAACAACTGTATCTGACCCACCACTGTAATCTTGTTGACACGTCATTGTACTGTATAAAACTGAGTTTGAGTTTCATTGCATTGCCTTTTCCTGCCTGGGACTGGTCCTTGTTTTGAGCTTGTGTTCGCTGCCTTTATCTCTTGAAATTAACTGAGTGGAGAAGAACTCAGCTGACTCATATCTCCCTTAATTAAGCAAATGTTACTTCTATGCATGCAGCTGTGGCCGTGGCAGACAAACCTTAGTATTTTATGTTTTGAAACATTTTAGTTAGATATTTCTATGATATAATACATTTCAATAGAAAAAAAAAACATTTCAAAGTGTTTTACTGAGAAACAAATTATACATTAATGTTTTACATTAACTTGACGTGAGAAGGGATGAGAATCGAAAACCAGGTATCAGTCGAGAGAAGGTGATTCTGATGTTGGTTGCAGTGACGTCACATATTGTACATTTTGATTTAGATCATGTTCAAAATTGCGGCACAGTAGAAGCGCTCCAAAGTATAATTACGTTTTACAAAAAGAGGATACCGGGGCCGGCTGCAGCATGTGCAGTTTTAAACACAATGAAAGCATGAAATACTTCCAACATCCTCCAACAGTTGAACACACAGTATGCAATTGATTTGTACGAAAGTAAAGTGTTTGACATGTTGCTTAGCGACGGCAGTGACTCTCGATGAGGGGAGCTTCCAGCACAACATCTCCTCCTATGCGTATCCCTGGCAACGTTTAGCTCATCCACATCCTGATTATAGTATTGACATCAGCATCAGACTGTATGAATAATCTCCAAATAACAAACTGCTTTTTATTTCCAAAATACAATTTTTTTATCTGACAAACGGGCCTCATGCGAATGAATATTCTTATTTATTAAATATGACAGAATTTTTATGGCCATGCAGCAAAAACTGAAATGTTTTAATACCTGAGCCACCGATGGTATAATATTGCAAACTTCAATGTTAGGATTTTATTTGATAAGCCAGCTCAAAGTAGCACATAATTCTGAAATGAAAGGAACTAGAAATAGGTTTCAATTGTTATTTTCTTTAGCAAAAAAATAAAAAATGAAAAATGTAGGTATCACAAGTTAAAATTTCATTCATTTGTGGCTTTTCCATACCAGCTGTACACATCCACAAATTCTTCTTTGCAAAACAGTCAAAAACTGTATGTGTGGTGTGGAGCTTTGCCATAATTTTCAACGTGTTTGCCTGCAAAACAACCTGTTTGGTTTGCAGTATTGACCCAGCCTGATCATTTTTTCCATCAATTCTGACTCAGCTTCTAAACTACTAAAATCGTATTTTGTAAGAATGTTGAATCCTTTATTCCTCTTCTTACAAATCCTTAAAAAACGGTTATTAAGGTCTTGTACTAAAAAGTAAAAATAGATTTATTTACATTTGTTGTCTTATCACACACGTTGCTGGGTAGTTTGATGGTATTTCTGATATTTATTTTTTCCAGACATGGTTGTTGTTCTGCAAATTCCATGAACTGAGATTAAAAAAAGATTGTGCTAAGAATTTAGCAATAGCTAGTATTAGTACATATTAACCAGATTCAAAATATTTATGGTCAATATATGAACACATGTTAAAGGTCGGCAGAGGAAAAAAACAATCAAAAGTAAACAATGACAATGAATGTGTTTTCCGTAATAAAATGTTCTCACATTTATTTAAAATCACTGTTTATTTAAAATACAAGGAATTTGTAAAATGTGAATAAAAATAATAAACTGGGAATATAATGTATTTACTTCTCTGACATTTTGATTTTTGAGTAAAGACTGACAAGATAGTTTAAGGTCCTTTGAATGGCACTCAAATGTCAGATTTATGTATATAAAAAAGAAAAGTCAAATGTCAACATAAAAAAAGTACTATACAGAGTCTTGAACTTTTTTGTGATAAACACCAAACATTTGTTCAATAAGCGGGTTTATTCGCTCTTTTTTCTCCCCGAGACTTTTGGGAGAGTATTTTCTACACTGCTGATACAAACCTGTAACGTTTTGAAGATGAGCATCATATTAAATCAGGCATTAAAACTAACAGAGCATTTTAGAAAAAAAAAACTAACTACATCTTAATATCAGTCAATCATGATGGCAGCAGGGGAACAGGTTCTGCTTTGTCTCTGCTATAACTGATGGAAACATGAATCCTCTCAAGGATCTTTTCTCTGCACTAGTTCATGCACACTTTTGTCCCCTGCAGGAAAATGATCAGAAACACATTAAGGTGGCCTCGTCAAAAGGTTTTTTTTTTTTCTAGTGTGAGTTGTGGGGACTAACAACCTGACTCAGGACTGATGACGTGTTAAACACACTGTCGACTTAGGACCAGTTTAATAGTACATAGGACTGAACACATCATTCCTGTTATGCAAGTAACAATGAACCTTCCTGTGGACGTGTGAGCGGCAGAAGTTCCTGACCTAATCAATAAGAAGGATTATTGACTGAGGCTGATTTCAGTTTGAGTTTACACGAACAGATTCAGGAGAAAACAAACATCCTCGCAGCTACTCATTATGTCCACCTGACTGAAATTGTCTAGTCGAGGCGTTTACAGTCAGTCTTTTACATACATGTAATCGCAATCTCCTCTTACATGAAGACGCAATGACACACTTCACCAGGACAACGCATATCAGAAAACAGTTCTGGGTTATCTCCCCGGTGGAGTGCACTTTGGCTCTGAGAGCAACAAGTCAACACATTTACACTCCTATATAAACAGCTCAGGCCAGCGCTGCCTCCGACTTTGTTTTCTTTTTCTCATTTCTGCACAGGAAAACAGTGAGTACTGAACATTTTGCCACATTTCTGAAAAAAGAAAATGACATTGTGGTAGACCAGTTAGCATGCATTTATTTGAGTTTGGCTTGTTTTTTCAGAATATTCAAATAGGAACCTATTTTATTTCTTAGTTAAGAGATGGAAAACAACCAACATGTACTGTTTCTGTTTTATTGAAGCATCAGAAGCATGAGTGGGGAAATCTTTGATAATGTCTCACCCTAGTGGATAAAGAGGTGTACGGTTTCAGCTTGTCTTTGCTGTCTCTCTGTCCACAGATCCAAAGCATCATGAATAAACTGCTGGTCGTTACTGTGCTGGTTGCACTTCTTGCTGTCAGTAAGTGTATTTTTACCCATATTAAAACACTTTCTGAAAATGATTTCAGTAGGCCAAAGAAGACAGAGTATATTAATCCACTGATAAAGTTGGAAAACTAAGTCGAGTTTCTGTTTCCGTGTTTTGCTTTGAACTTTGTTTGTGTAAATGTAACAAAGGACAAGTAAGAAACTACAAGGTTGATCATTTACATTAAAATATTCCCATTTTTATTGGCATTAAAGTAAATGTAAGTTAAAAAATATTAAAAAAATAGTTGAGCGACAAATTTAAGTTTGGCAAAAAGAAAAAGGAATATTGTGTTTATGTTTTTTTAGCATATTTTCTTGTATTGTTTTCCATTCTCATTGCATTTTTGCAGTGTCACTCAGCCAAAATAAACCTGGTTAAAAAGCATAATGTGGCTTTGAAAATTATTGTAATTTTTTCCACATTTTGTCATGTAACAATCATCGACTGAAAAGGGTTGAATGCAAATGTATATTTTCAGCAATTGTGTTCTATCTTGTGTTGGTCTATCCCATACAATTCTGACAAAATACACAAACGTATGTAATTGTAATGTGACAATACAATGTGACTAGGACTAGGAATACTTCAGCAAAGCTAATGAAATTGTTTTGCAAGTCAAAACCACTGTGGACCACTTGCCTTGCAGACACGGATAGCTTTCGTTTGAGAAGGCAAGTGGCAGAGGAGGAAGAGGGAACGCTGACCAAGATCTCAGGCGCTGTCAAGTCCTACTACAACAGCGCCGTGGACACCGTCAACGGATACGTGGACAGCATCAAAGGCCTGAAACTCGAGGAGAAAGCAAAGTAAGAGTGTGTCAGTAGCTTCATCGATAAAGCCTGATCAGAGGTCAGAATTCAAAAACCAAACTGCTCCTTTTCCATTTGTTTTGTCTTTAGGAATCTTTACACCGAAACCAGTACAGTTGTGAGCACCTACGCCGGCATATTCCAAGACCAGCTTTACCACTTTTTCCACCACTAGGAGAAGAAAGTACAAAACAAATAAATAAATAAACTCTTTCAAGAGCATAGCACTGCTCATCCTGCACATGAAAGTGTCTCCATACCATTTGACACCTTAACGTTTGGTACTCATCACCAAACGGAGCCTCACAACTGAAATAGTGGACAATGTGCTTTGTATAGTGCTTTTTTAAACCACTGAACTCATATTGGAGACATCCTGACTACACAACCTGCCTAGAGGAAATGGATGGCCAAATGTGGTGAGCACACGGGGCACTCAATGTCCTGCAGATAATCTCACGTCCACTTAGATGTATTGAATTCCCTCATAATTTACTTAAATCGGCCATCCCACCCCTCGATGAGTGAAATGTTTGTGTCATATCTTGAAATAAAGTATTTATACAAAAAAGACATTTGCAGTTTATTTACATGAACAGACTGTCATGTTTTTACACTCTGTACGCCTCCTTCTCTCCTTTTCTCTCACAAAGTCCCACGTCTCTGTGTTGATTAATTTGCAGTCACAAACATGTCTTTTTCTGGGCTCAGGCAGAATCAGAGCACAAGTTTCTGCTCCAATTAATAATGAATGAAAAGATAAGTCAAATACGAATGCAGTGCAACTAACACAGATGACTCAACAACAGACTGCGAAGGCTGTTTCATCTGTGCAGAAGACCACTGACGCAAGATGGTTTTGATTTTTAATGAATGCCTAAATCTGCAAGACACAACCGCCTCTGAAGCTACAGCACAACAACAAAAAAAAGCAAATAGGAGAACAGAAAGTTTATTGATGCAATTTTTAAACACCAAATAGCTTTACTGATTGAGTTTTAGATGTGTATGGTGTTTTTTTTTTGTTGTTTTTTTTGTTTGTAGGCCTTCCTGTATTTTGAATAAAAATCAATATTTTATTTTTCACACTTTAGTAAACACAATAGACTGGTTCAGTTCAGTATGATGTCAATATTTCCATTTGTCTATGAAAATATCATCTTCCTTGGATTCTGTCTTTTGGGACAGAATAGAAAATAGTTCATTTTTTTACAGTTCCAAAGGTTTCAGGTTTGTTTGCTTGTCTGTGCATCCTAGACCTTTTAAATCTGATTTATCTACACTTATTAGTTTTATTCATTTTATTACTCTTTGGCATTTTAATATATTTTTCGCTTAAATTTCTTGCATTCAGACCCTGACCTCTTTTAGACATTTTTTTTGTACCGTGTTACCTTTAATTGAATATATTGTACTTCATATTAATTTATCCTTCCATGCACCATTGCGGGCAGTGAGGATGGGGATCTGGGTTTCTCTCTTCAGGTCATCATTTGGCTAAAAGAGCAGAGGCTGCACAGGGCAAAACAGAATCTCCTAGAACAGACAACCTTGCATAGATACACTTAAGGCCACTTAAAGCGACCACTTAACCAAGCACACTAGTTTTTGGACATTGGGAGGAAGACGAAGCACCCAGTGAGAACCCACTCGTGCACTGAAAATATACAAACTCTTGCAGAAAGGATTTAAACTCAGGGCCATCTTTCTGCAAGGCAACAATGCTAAAACCTCCAGTTATTCAATGGGGCAAGGGCAAAAGCAGATAGCTATTTTTGCCCTTGTTGCTTTGCCCTGGTTGTGTTCTGCCCCATTGTGGTACAGAAGAATATAACATACTTTATTATTGTTGTTATTATTATTATTATTATTATTATTACTATTATTATGGAACACACAGATCTGAAAGGCGTTTGAAACACATATTTAACAGTTCATTAAAAATGTTTCTCTTTTTAATCCTATTTGTGTTGCAACTGTCAAATAAATTATAAAAAATTCAAAAAAAACATTTATGCACAATCAGAAGTTCATCAAGAAGGTTCACGTAAACTTTGAGTCTCTTACTTTCTGCATTATTTTGAAGACACAACCTTGACCCAGAGCTGTTGAGGTAATAAACACTGACCCGACTTTAACAGAAGGCACACACACAGATAACCTCCTACACAGTGATGCTTCCTATCATTGACTGGTTTAATTGCTTTAAGAAAGAGAGAGTAGGAACGATACATTGACTTCTGGAAACAGGGTTTTGTAATCTATTGTGATTTGTTTCAGCCCTTGGATTAGCAGCCACCAGTCTTTAGAACAATCTGTCACTCTCTTTATCGCTTTAAGTCATTCATAAATAATATTTTTGCATCTCAGAATATCATTCAGACACATGCAGCATATTAAGACTATCAACATGGTGAAATATTAACTTTAGAAAAGAGACATCAATCTTGACACAGCTCTTATCTTCTTTCTTATTACTAACCCACTAACTCATCTTTATGCAATCCAAAAAGACATTAGCTCACAAACTGATCAGAGGTGACTGGCTAACTGATCTGATCTGTACAGCAACCTTCACATTGGTTTGGACAATAGATGCATCTTCCCATGTAACATTATTTCACAATAAAATATGTCTGTTAAAGTCCCACTTTAAATTCAAATGCAATTATACAATGGGGCAGGTGCATCTCCATTTTTTAATTATTCAAAAGAATAAACGATAAAAGTAGGTACTGTCCCTTTAAATTCTTTATATTTGTCTCGTTTGTATGTTTTCAGCACTATGGGATACAGACTTTCACTTTTTTTCTCAGTTTGGCATAATGATTAATATAAACGAGTAGGTGAAATTGTAATTTTTACTCTCAAAGTTATATTGAAGTAATTTTACAAACTGATGGGAACCACATTGTTTCTAAGTCAAAACTAAGGGTAACACTTTATTTGAAGGGGGTTGAATAAGACTGTCATGACACTGTCATAAACATGAATAAGCCTTCATGAATATTTATGACTGTTGTCATAAACCGTCATTCGGTAAATAATGACACTTTTAATACAAAGTTGACATTATTCAAAATGTCTTTGTTATGACAACTTGACATTAACCAAGAAATCATTACTGATATAAATTTGTTATAAAAGTATTACTGATTGCACTTTAAAAATTAGGTAACTTTATGTTATTAAAGGTAAAGTTTAAACAGTAATTATGTCTTGGTTAATGTCAACTTTGTATTAAAAGTGTCTTAATTTACCGAATGACGCTTTATGACAACAGTCATACATATTCATGAAGGCTTATTCATGTTCATGACATGTGATATGTCATGTTTATGAAAGTGTCATGTCAGTCTTATTCAACCCCCTTCAAATAAAGTGTTACCAAACTAAGTAATTTCTAAGACAAACATAGGATGTAGTTTCTTTATCCCATAAACACATACTATTAAAAATGTACCAAAATACAAACAAGCTTATCTTTAACTTTATTGAAGAAAGGAACAACATTTAATAAATATAGAAAACAAAATTTGACACATTGTGCCAGATTAATTCACATTTACGTTCCCTGCTTCTTTCTCCATGATCTCTGTATGTCTGCAGTGGTTTGTTTAACACTGAATGGTGGTGAAACAAGGTCAGCTATTTTATTTTTTATTTTTTTGCATTTTGTGTTATCATCCTCTCACCAATCCTCTCACAAGACACACTGTATCTTTTTGCTATCATATGGATTTTAAACAGTGCTATCATGGACACCTGCAAACCCACACCTGGTGCTAATATCTGTCCATGTTGCCGGTTCAGGTGTGAACAGTTTCAGGCGGCCTGGGTCACTTGTTATCGGGGAAGAACAAAGTCGTCCCTTTAGATAAAGAGGATTGTCAAATCTCTTTACAGGAAATGAGATGTGTTGTTTAATAAGTTGCTTAATAAAGGTGTCGGACATTACTCTGATTAGATACAAGAGTTCCAAGACTGACTGGGAAATGACGCTGAATATTAATAAGTAGCCGGCTCCTCCCTCTGCGCTCTGAAGTTCTCATACGTAAACAACAGGTTGTGTTGCAGGCTTTGTCTCTCCATTGGAAGAAACCCAAAGAAACACAATGCATCTTCTCCTCCTGGCTGCTACCTTTGTGCTCGCAGGTAAACCTTTACAGGGTGCTTTAGAAAAATGCTAAGATTTTAACCAACATTTATAGCTTCCTCTTGCTGTCATTGATGGTTTGTAGGAGCTTACCCCCTGGAACACGTGAGGGAGTGCGAGCCTCATTCAAGGCCCTGGCATGTGAGACTGCACGGTGGAGGAGTGTCATGCAGCGGAGCGCTCATTGACGAGTGGTGGATAGTGACTTCTTTTGAGTGTGCACCTACGTAAGTGTCAGCAAATGATAGCAACAAAACAAAAAGCTGTTTAGAAACAAATATTGCATGGCTTTTGTTGTGAAAAATAGGGAGATATAGTTTCAGTCACAGAAAAGCTCAAACTAACTGGAAATCTCATTTGGGTTTCAACCTCTTGCTCATGTCTGACTAAAACATACTGTTTCTTCTCTTATTGTCCTTTTTTCTGTCTGAGTTTGATCAATTATACTCTTCTCCTTGGTTCTTTGCAGATCCTATCAGACCGTTGCCTCTCTTGGGGAACATGACTCAAGTGTGGAGGAAGGCACAGAGCAGCACATCCTGGTTTCTGACGTGATCCAACACAGTCCCTACCGCTCGCCTCTCCACAGCCTCACCATGGTGCGTCTGTCTGCGCCTGCCAGGTTTAACCAGTATGTCAAACCAATCCCACTGCCAACCCGCTGCCCAAAGACCGGGGAGATCTGCTCCATCAGCGGCTGCGGCTCCACAGATCCAAACCAGTGTAAGTGGATTTATAGATCAAAATCATGTTGGTTTTGACCTGATTTTCTTAGCATTTAAGGAGAACAGCATCAAGTGTAGCATTGAGAAACTAACTTCATCAGCAGACCAAAGCTCAGTCCTGAATCAGGGTTACTCCTGAAGGCCATGAGGTAAAACACATAAGACATGAAGTTTGTACGTTTTATAAACGTATAGCAATATGGTATATTGTGCTATACAATATGCTTGTGTAGAACAAATTGAAAAAGTCGTTACAAAGTTTTGTTACAAAATCGTCAAACAAATAGAAAAACAATAAAAAGGTTGGAAATTGATAATAAATTTCCAACTTGTGAATAAACACCTAATCATTATAGTACCTACTATTGTCTTTTATGTGATTTGTCTGAGCAGAAAAATGTTTTGCATATTTCTCAGATTGCAGTTTTTTTTTTTGTTTTTTTTTTTATCAAATTACTCAAAAATAATTAAACTGCAATTATGTGTTATAAGAAAAACGCACCAGGAAACTAATAATTAATGTAATAAAGAATTAATTTTATAGCTCATCACACAAATGTTTGTTTCCTAATGATTCAATTAGTTCAAAAGATACACAAAGGAAACTGAATGGACAACAAAAAGTATCGTTAATTTTACTGTGTTGATACAAGGAAAGAAATTGTTTTCTGAATAAAAAAATAACGTTCAAATGTGTGTTTGCTGATTAAAGACCTAACTTTAGGTTTTCTGGGATGTAAAGGCATTAATTTCACAGCTGGTTCTTGATAAGAGTATTTTAAGCGGAAGATTTATGTAGAAGAGAAAAAAGCAAAGGTAGAATCAAAGTTTCGGAAACACCATAAATTGGGTGTTTAGTTTCTTACACCAGACCTATCATGATGAAACAGAAAAACACAGTACCTACTTTGTTGCCCAACAATAAGTTTACATTTTCAGAACCTGCTTCAGTTTCTGCTCAGGGATTATCATCTCTGTTCTTCTCTCAGTTGAGGGGAACATCCGTTCTCCAGAGGTTTTTTTGGGGCCTGAAAGACTGCAGGCTTTGGTTCAATTTGCTGGTATCTAATTTTGAATGGGCAGAGCTTGACTAAAAGTCAAACTGAGGATACACAGAAGTTTTTAATGGGAAGCTCATTTTTATTCTGGTCACTTGAGTCTCCGAAGAGGAAAGAATGTTTTTTATTTTTAATCATTTCCATTTTTAATCAGTTTCTAATTACCTGCCAGAGCACCCAGTCAGTGATCAGAACTAATTAAAAGAGGTAGACTCCGAAAACAGGATTTGCTGAAGGATTAGATCTTCATGCTTCATATAATCTGTTAAATCCTGTGTAGAATGAAAGATTGCTTTTTGTTAAATAACTGCATTGGGTAGCAATTTGACAAGCAACGGAACACAGATTGTAAACTATTTAAAACAAAGATAAGATACCTGTGTGAAATGAAGTGAACGGTTTAAAATAAGTAACAACTTTCCTTCCCTCTCTTTAAATCAGATGACCCCTCCCAGCACCTGAAGTGTCTTACTGTGCCTGTGGTGGATGATATGACTTGTTTGAATACCTTCCCTCCATATCTGTTCTGGGGTGTCATGGTCTGCGCCGGTCAAGCAAACACAGATAACTGCCTGGTGAGCATCGACACGAAGCAGAGATGCTGATTCTGACTGATTCTGATGCCGTCTACCTCATGCTCTCCAGAGCCGTCTTCCATCACATAACCTTCAGTTTTAACAAAGTGTTATGCCGTGTCCTTTTTCAGACTGGCCGCAGCAACGTGATGGTGTGCGCCGGTGAACTGCAGGGTCTGACGTGGTTCAATCACGGCTGCGAGGATCCAGCTCACCCCACAGTTTACACCAAGATGTGTGAATACACCCGCTGGATTAAAGCCGTGATGAGCACGTATTCTCCAAAGACCACAACTGCTTTCCCCTGGACGACATAAGGCAGCATTGGCACGCACATCTGCATTCAACATGAGGAGACTATGTTTTTTTTGTTTTAAAGATCGCTCCTCCCAACTGCAGATATGTCCTTTCTATATGTGGTTTGTTGAAGTTTAATGAGATTCTCTGTAAATAAAAGACACTTAAATGTTTCCTGTTGTTTTGATTTTATTCATTTGCGTTTTGCCACTTTTGGCTGCTTCAAAGACTTTTATTTGTTTTGCCTCACAAACTGAAAACCAACAATTTAGGTAACTCCGAGCTTAATATGGCAAATGACAACCAATTGACCACAATGCCCAAAGCATGATGCTGCCTCTGCCTTGTTTTCTTTGCATAGTGTATTCCAGTGTTGCATGTTCTCCAGGTAAGAAATGCTCCCAGTCAAATCTGCCTGTTTAAGTGATGGAAAACAAGATTCATCTGACCAGGCTACCTGTTCACTGTGGTCTAGCTCTGATACTCAAGCTTTAATTGTTGGTGGTTCCAGAACTGGACAGGGTCAGAATGGGAAATCTGGCTGTTCTATCTGATACAGATATGGCTGCATTTTGACACTTCATATCAGAAGAAGAACTAACTTTCTCTGCAGTTTGAGTAATAGTGATGGATCTGCTAATTTGGTAGTTCACTACTGCTTCTTCCTTGGACCACTTTTAAAGTGCTGCAGCTGCTCTGACCCAGTGGTTTAGTTATCACACTCTGGCCCTTGTAAAGCTCTCTTATTTTGGACAATGTTCCACTAGGAAAGCTTGAGTCCTGCCATCCATGTGTATGTTATTTCCAGGGATTGGCAGCAAAAGCAGGGAAATTGTAGCAATAGGTAGGTTGTTATGTTGTTATTTTTATCATAAGAGGCCAAAAAAAAAAAAAAATTCTTGAGAGAAAGTGCAACAAAAAATTTAACTGGACTAATTTAGCTCTTGCCAAATCATACTGACCATTCAAAGCATTTCACACTAGAGCCACATTCATCCATTTGCACTCACAAACAAAGCATGCATTTAAATAGTAACACAAATATGAAAAGGCAACTTGGGGTGAGATGCCTTGGCCATGGGCACAAACACATGTGATAAGAAGAAGCTGGAATAAAACCTGCAACATTCCAATTTCAAGAAAACCACTCTGCACATTGAGCCACAGTCGCTCCAGTTGTTTAAAGCCTATCCTTCCAGTGACTGAAAGGGATAAAATAAATGACGACTATGCAGGAGATATTACAGGGCTTTGTAATAGATTGCTGGATGTTGTTGTATCTGATAAGGTGTCTCAAATGTCATTTTTGTCTTTCTCAATGGATTGCGTCTGCAAATCTTTCTGCCAAGGCTTGGAAATCTTGCAATAATAAAAGGTACAACTAGAGGGCGGTAGCGCCTAAAGATTCAGGCACGGCGAGCTGAGAGAAAGAGTGAACAGGTGATGGAAATTCTACATTTGTAAGGTTTTTCTGTGAACTCTGCAAACACGCCCAGCCATTTGCAAAAGAATGTTACAGCCATAAACACATGGTTGTGATATAATATTACCGAGAAACAAGGGAACCGGGGGAACACATGGGGTAAGTCAGAGTTTCACATGCAAACACACCAATAGACACATACATGCAAAGTGAATGACAGCTGTGTCCATAATCACCCAAAACAGAGGGACAACTCTGCCATCTGCTTCCAGCATTTCTCTCCTGATCCGCACCCCCTCTCTTCCTGTTTCTGCACCTCAGTGGGAGAAAGAAAGCAAACTGAGGAGCAGGCAGGATGTCACTTCAGAAATCAGTGTGGTATTAATTGGTGTGTTTCTCTCTTTTTTCCATCAATTTGAAACATCACATTTCATAATTAAAATACACAACTGAATGCTATTGCTAATATATTATTAATTGATAGCTTTATACAATAAACCAAAAAGAGCTGGTCGGAAATCTGAAAGGACTTTTTAACTAATAACTGTAATAATCCTTGATAAACTTTATCTCTGACCTTTCGGTTGCGTTTCCAGAACAGGGTTGTGACTAGCTCAGGCTAGTGAGGGCTGCAGTGCCTGACAGGCTGTACATTCGTTGTTGAGAAGAGAACATTCTGCTCAACTAAAAATTAACTCATGGAGATCCTAGATAAAAAGTCACTAAAAGTTAAACATTGAAATTGAGCCTGCAGGAATCATGAAAGTCCCATTCATTCATTCATTCATTCATTCATTCATTCAATTAATCCATTCAGGAGTCGACATTGACCTCTGTAGCGAGTCTAAATGTGGGCCAACAGTTATCATCTTCATGAACCTTGCTCAGTGTGGTTCAAATGCCTTACTGGTGTCAAAATGTCACTGACTTCCAAAATGACATTCCTGTTTTCAGTTGGTGGCCACTAACCAAAAGCATCAATACTGATGTCATTTAAACAACATGGATCATTCTTTTGCATTTTAAAACTTTAATTTAAAAGTCCCTTCAATACAATCAAGGTCTGCACACATAATGGTGTTTCTGGGTGACAAATCTTCCACTAATATCTCTCAGTCTTGTTAGACTTAACATGTTGACCTCTACTAATGGTTAACTTTTGCTCTTTTCGTTCCCTTTACACTCCCTTTAAAGAAACAAATTATAAATTGTAGCTAAGTTTCTAAAGGTCTTCCCAACCTCCTCCTCTGTCCTTTGGCAGCCATAACTCAGGCGTAAAAGCCTGGCTTACAGCGAAAACAAATATCACCCTCATTTGTCCAAACCTCCTTGGTAGAGAGAAAAAAAAAACTGATGAATGAGAGAATTAAAGTGAATGATGACCCAAAGGAGGAAATATTTTTCTTAGGTTGTGACAGAGCTTATCAGTGGTGCATGGGTACAATTTCTGGAAAGCAAACGCAGGGCGTCTTCCTCCATTCTTCCATTTCCCTTCATCGCTCCATTTCTTTGGCAAACTGTCACCATCACTCACTGACGCCTTACATTCCCAGCATTCCCATGGCACCTGGCTCACAAGTGGCACACAAGTGCACAAACCAGGCAAAAGTGCACAAAAGCAGATTTTTCGCCAACATCCCTCCACCAAGTGTTTTCCCTTCCCCAAAAAACTGACAGGTCTTTCTCACACAGATGAAAATTAATAGGCTGAGCTGGCTTCCAGTGCATTAGCTCAAGCTGATGCATTTGTGTAAGTGTGTGTTTCACTGCATTAGGCTCACTGAGGATAGCACAGGCCAAGTCAATCATGCTGGATCTCTCCCTGTTGTCCCATTGAGACCTGCGGCTCATCAGGGGAGATAATTAGTCTGAAGAGCTTTAATGATACTTGCCTAATAGCTACGAGAGTACACTGAGAGGCAGCGGTGTGTGTGTGTGTGTGTGTGTGTGTGTGTGTTTGTGCGCACCGCCATGTGAGATGCACAGAGAGCGCAGATGTGGGACGCGTCTCTGAAAGGTGGTGAGTAAGCGAATAAGTGATTAAAATCCCGGCTTGTAAATACATGCGTTTATGTGTGTTTGTGTGCATGCATTCAGAGGGCGATAATATTCAAACTGATGAGATAATGAACGCTGGGGCTATCAAGCTCCAACCCACACATTTGCAGAAACACTCAGAAGAGCCTCGCTGCTCCCTGGCTCCTTGTTAGCGGGGAGCTCTTCGTTTGTTGATGCCTCCTGCACAGAGCAACCTTGACACAAACCGAAGAAACATAGCAAGTGGGAGAGACAGAGAAATATTGAGGTTCAGGGGATTGGATGATCTATGCATATTGTAAATTGTTGCAAATATAAATGAGCATGTGCACTTTGCTAGAGACAAGCAGTTTAGTAAATAGTGTTACAAAGCACACTGCAGTGCCTTGGCTCATATTTTGGTTTCTGAGTCTGGAAACAAAAAAATAGTGGCATTAATGTATTCTCTCATCATTTTTAAGATGTTTTCCCAAAATTCAAATTTAACAAAGTGGAATCCAATGAATGGTAAAATGTTTTCCATTTGGTACTATAATTTATTCAACAAAAATATTGAAAAAAGAAAAACAAATAAAATCGTTCAGACTGTAAATTTATAATTATCTCATATTCTAGTGAAACCTTCCAAATAAAATCGAATGTTCTGAATTAAAAATGCTATTTATAAATAAATAAGCAGAGTGATTTTGGAGATGTTTCAAACAAGTCTAATATCAGTGTAGAGTCACTAAATATCTCCTCTAATGTATCCAGTTAAGTAGGGATTCAGGCTGGATTTACAATAAACCTTCATCTCGCATCAAGACTGTAGCTTGAAGAAACAGAAAGCTCCATAACCTTCATTCTGAACAAAAATAATCCCCTCAAAGACTGCAACAGTAAGACAGACCTTCCTATGAAAAATTAGGTAAAATGAACTTAGAGAAATGATCTCTGCAGCTCCTCCAAAGAGCCACTTGGCTTTCCTCTTTCTCACCGCATTCGCTGTTGTTCCATGCTCTCACCATTTCCAGCTTGCAATAATGTTTTATAACGTTGGTTTTATTGTTCTTCATTATACTTTCTGTTCAGTATTCTCTAACAAATGTCTAAACACAGATGGAGGAGTTCAGTACACAACTATTACATTGTGTTGGTCTGTTGCAAAATATCCAAATAAAATATTCTTATTTATTTCTGAGCATTTACAGAAGAGAGAAATTTTCTCTTAATAATGAACTAGCAAGTTCCCAGATTGTACTAAGGCAGGAGAGAATATAAAAAAACACACAGAAAAGAGACAAAAACAGGCAACCTTCTACCTGATAGGTAGCCGAAGATCAATGAGCGAGCATATTTTGTTTTCTTAGTCTAGCAGAGTCTTTAACAATCTTCATTTCTGTATCATCAAGAGAGGAAAAATAGCAATAAAAGGAGTTTCAGAAAATGGAAATAATAATAAAGGCCCCGAAACTATGAGAGCCAGAGGCAACAAAGAATCATCATCTAAATGGATAAAAAGGATCCCAGAGAGATGCAAAGATGTGCAAATAAACTGAGAAGAAGAATAAAATGGTTACAAAACCAACCTATAATCTGCAGTCAAAATCACAAACTGAT